GAATCAAAAAATTATTCTATGTGCAAGGAATTCTGTCCACAACAGTCTTGGGGGAATCCAGATCTCACCACTCACCTCTCCCTAGATCTTCCCTCCTGACCTCATCTGCTGCTCCCAGACACCCCATATTCTAGCCTTTTCTTTCAGAGGAGATCATCGGAGGACATGAGGTCAAGCCCCACTCCCGCCCATACATGACGTTTATTAAGTATGTGGATGCCAATGGGAAGAGGAAATACTGCGGAGGCTTCCTGCTTCGAGACAACTTTGTGCTGACAGCTGCTCATTGCCAAGGAAGGTGAGGAGAAGCAGCTCACACAGGTTTTCTGAGACCCTCCATTAGGTGTTTCCATCCTCTACTTGTGGATGCTATTGTGAGCACACCAGAGGGTAGGACGGTGCAAACAGAATTCTGAAAACAGTGACACTGAGATCAAAGGGTGAGAGGTCAGAGTCAGCAGCACACTCAAGTTGAAAGCAGCTACACTGTCCAGACTAAATCAGTGGTTGACGCGGTGATATATTGTGTAGCCCAATATATAACATATGGGGATCAGAGGACAGAGCCAGAGACTAGATTAGACATAGAGGCCAAACAGTATTGGTACACACCCTTAATCCTATCACTTCAGAGGCAGAGATCTGTGATTTCAAGGCCAAACTGGAAAGAGAGCCAGGCAGTGTTGGCACACATTTTGAATTCCAGTATTTGATAACTTTGTCTTTGCTTGGGATAGATACATGCCTTTAATCCCAGGCAGTAACATGACAGGACACAGTAAGGTATCTAAGGCGTTAGGAAACAGGAACTTGCTCTTTTTTGGGGGATGATTTCATAGGGATAAGAACTAGTAGCTTGCTCTCTGCCTCTCTGATCTTTCAGCTTTACCCCAATATCTGATTCTGGATTTTTTATTAATAAGACCTTTTAAGGTTTGTGTTACAAGTTGAAGTTGAAAGTACACATTAAGACTCAATGCAAACTATGGAATATTGCCTAGAAATAAGAGAAAGCCTCTAGGAGTCTACTGTCCTTGAAAAGCAAAGAGCAGCAAGTCAAACACTGAGACCCTCCTGTCTCCACAAGTCCCCCCAGATAGAGCCCCACCCTGCCCATCCTGCCTTTTACACCTCCTGGACTGTGTCTCTCTCACTCAACACCTCTCATCTCCACTCTGCTTCTACAGCTCAATGACACTCACTCTAGGAGCCCACAACATCAAGGCACAGGAGGAGACCCAGCAGATCATCCCTGTGGAAAAAGCCATTGCTCACCCAGCCTATAATGATAAGAACTTGTCCAATGATATCATGCTCTTAAAGGTGAGACTTGCCCCATCCTGGTCCAGGGATGCCTCCTGCCCTCACCCACTCCTTCCCTCCCTTACATCCTGGCCTTCATGGTGTCTCAGCCCAGCTGTCAATGAACTGCACTCTCCCATCTTCCACAACAGCTGGAGATTGAGGCCAAGAGGACTAAAGCTGTGAGACCCCTCAAGCTGCCCTGGCGCAGGGTCCATATGAAGCCAGGGGATGTGTGCTCTGTGGCTGGTTGGGGAATGATGGCCTTGAATGGCACCAATGCAGATAGACTACAAGAGGTGGAGCTGACTGTACAGAAGGATCAGTTGTGTGAGTCCCACTACCCACGTTATTACAACAAAGCCAGTCAGATATGTGTTGGGGACCCAAAGATCAAGCGTGCTTCCTTCCAGGTAAGTTGGATTTTCATCCTCTCTGGGCTCTGTGGGAGGGAAAATGCAACCTGGGATCTAGAGACCAAACATCAAAGGAGACTCCTTTATATGATCTTTCTCCCTTGGAACAGCAGTAACCAATAACTAACTAGAGCCTCCTGAGCTGACAAGGAGCCTCAGTGAAAGTAGCTAGTAAAAAAGCAGGATTTGCACAGTACTCCTGATATCCAAGCGCAGGCTTTATAAAGCTATGACCCCTGCCTGTGTCATTCCCACGGGCAGGTGACTCCACAGATCAAGCAACTCACTTTTGTCCAGGGTCTCGTCCTCCATGCTCACATCAGGCCCACTCACCTGCCCCCATGTTCTTAAACAATGGCCTGGAGATGAGGGTTCCACACACCCTAATAGAGAGTGGATCACAGACCTGGAGAAAGGGCAGAGGCTGGGCTCAGGAGGGAGGTGAAGCAGTAACCCTGTCCACAATCAGAGCAGGAAGCCCAGGGACACCCAGGCCTGCTCTCTCATCTCCCACAAGCAGAGCATACAAGCCAAACTTAGCTTCGTGGGAGTTAGGGACTAAGGTGAACAACAGCTCAGTCCCCTGTGCCTCCTCTCCATTCACAGGGGGATTCTGGAGGGCCTCTCTTGTGTAACAAAGTGGTTGCAGGCATCGCCTCCTATGGACATAAGAATGGTTCAGCACCAAGCGTCTTCACCAGAGTGTCAGGTTTCCTATCCTGGATAAAGAAAACGATGAAACGCAGCTAACTCCAGAGCAAACCAGACCCCTCTCTGACTCAGCATCTTCCCTACAGCTGAGTCCAAGGTTTTCCTAGGACAGAAGCCACAACTCAATAAAGTTCTCTTTGTTCAATCAGAAGTCTGGTTTCCTATCACAGGGACCAACTCTGTCTTGGCAGGCCAATGGCACACTTCTGCTCTCTGTTCATCCCAACACCATACACATACCTCTGCCAAGCTCAGGCAAGACCATTGCCGCTCATTTTTACATGTCCCACTCTACAGTGCCTGCCCTTCTGACAGGCATAAAGCTGAGCTGGGGCTTTCCTGTCCTGGGGCTCAGGGTGAACATTTTTCCTCCTCTGTGTCATATGGAAGAAAGGAGAGGGAAAGCACAATTGGTCCTGGAGACATGGGAGACAGAGCCCAGGTCACTGTAGATGGGCCTTCCTGGGCAGAGTATCTTTGTCCCACAGCCTCACCATTAAGGTAACAGATTTCAGGAAGGGCTGTTTCTCATCTAGAACAAAATCCTCTCTTCCTCTGGATACAGGGCCAACCTTCGTCCACCCTCCTAGCTCTATGCCCTTCTCCATCATGGCTGCTCAGATGAGTCTAACAACTTCTGTGCTTTACAACCATGCAGATCTGAGCACTTTCCTACCTCTTATTCCTCTACAAGCGAAGCCATGTGCGGTTCCTCCCAATAGGGCCTCAGCCCTGTGGTGCCAGCCCAGCTTAGGCCCTGGCAGAGAGGTACCTCTCAAAGGTCCAGGCCAGAAGTGGCATCACACAGGGACCATGGAAGCCAGGGCTCCCATCGTCTCTCTCCAGAACCCTGTATTCCACTCCCACATGCTCTGGCCTAGGGAAGCTCTTCCCAGTCTGCTCAGTTCCTCCTGTGTGCTCAGCATCCACAGCAGCAGGGTCACTCAGCAGCAGGAGCCCCTCTGAGCATGTCCATCTCAGTCACTACTTTACTCTAGGATAGGAGGCCATGATGGTCACATGGCCTATGTCTGTCTTTGACATCCACAAGGGCAAAAGAACTAGAAATCTCTACTTTTTCATCAGTGTGCACTGAAGTGTATCAGGTTTGGGAATGACTTTAGTCTATTATCTTCTACTGGGAAACTGTTCAGAAAAGCATTTTTTTTCAACTAGTAGAGAGGATATTTCTTACAGAATAAGACAAATGAGAAGGCCTATTGTATTTATTTAAAGGTAACAGATACAGAGCCATTATGCAGATTTAAATCATAAGAGATGCGCATATTCAGAAGTATAAATCATTAACAGAATTAAATGGGAATCAAGGAAAATAGAAAGCAATGCTGTGAAGAAATACCTCTAAATTTTACAATTTTGTGTTTACTGCGGCATCTATAGGTCCTAAGACTACCTGTTAGTCTCATTTTTAGGAAGTCTTGACATGAGACAGTAGCCAGAAGATCTGCCTTTTTGTTAAATAAAAGTCTCCCTGTCTTGGACTCACATTGCTAAAAAAATAAAATAAAATAAAATAAAAATCAAAGCTGTCAGGCATGGTTGCTCATGTCTTAACCCAGCATTGGGAGGCAGAGACATGCAGATCTCTGAGTCCAAGGCCAGTCCAGGTTACAGAGAGAGACTCTGTATCAAAACAAACATAAAAAATGCTTGCTTCATTTAACTCAAATAAACCTAAAACTCCAAGCAACCTGGGCTTCAGGGGCCTCTTCTGTCAAACTCTTAACAGATAACATGACTTATGGCTACAGCTTAATGCCTCCCTGTCCCAAATAACAGAGCATCCCATTCTTCTGGGAGATGAAGTAAAATCTCCCTTTGGGTCAGGATACTTTCAAAGACATGATTTATACAGGCCCAGATGCAGGTGTCACACAGTTTCTGATAGGGAACTGGAAAACAAACACGTCCTGGAGACATATAAGGATCTAGCTATTAGAGACAATGAAAACAAAGAAGAGTGCAGAATCAAGGGAATAATGTATGTCAGAAATCATACAATCACATATGTGTTCAGTTTAGGTGTTACATTTACTTTGAGGAGAAGGTACTATGGCTTAAATAACTTTGTAAACCATTTGTTATTCGTCTTCAGAGAGGAGATAGCAATACATTTCTACCACAAGTCATAACTGAGCTGACAACCAGCATCAACGATGTTCAGATAGAGGCTGAACTGTGCCTAGGATTCTCTGGCCACCAAGGCACAGGTGATCTCAATGTCATCTAATTTGTGGTCAGTAATTTGGTGCCATCCTACACAAAAGATGAGCCCATGCTCAGACCTCCCATGGAGAGAAACCTCTGAGGTCCTCCACAGCTGCATGGTGAAGGTGTTCAAAGCCACCTTGCTTTGCTCCCTTGAGCACAAATTGGAGTGGATTCAGAGGCAGGTAAAAGCCTTAAACACACACTGCTTCAGATTTCTCAGCTCTACAGAAGAATCTCTCAGCCGTTCCCATTTCAAAAGAGGTTACTCTGCTCCCCTAAAATCTCTGTACTGGGGATTCCAGACTGAGTACAAGTAAACAGCTGGCTGAAGGAAGCCTCCAGACCCAGGCCAGGTGGGAGTTTCCACTCTCCGTGGGGCCTGGGCTTCTGCTCCGGGGCTGTTGCAGAACCCCGAGTTGTGCATGGCCGAGGTGGGAGCATGCCAGGGCTATGGAGGCAGAGGCTTCCTTCGGCGTGGGCTTTGCTCCTTCTGCCGTTCTTGCGACTGCTGATGCCCGCAGCCCCCGAACCCCACCAGGGGTCCTACAAGCCAGTGATCATGGTGCACCGGCTCTTTGACAGTTCATACAGCTTCCGCCACCTGCTGGACTATATCAATGAGACACACCCTGGGACTGTGGTGACAGTGCTCGATCTCTTCGATGGCAGAGAGAGCTTGCGGCCCTTGTGGGAACAGGTGCAAGGGTTCCGAGAGGCTGTGGCCCTCATCATGGAAAAGGCCCCTGAAGGGGTGCATCTCATCTGCTACTCCCAGGGGGGCCTGGTGTGCCGAGCTTTGCTGTGTGTCATGGATGAGCACAATGTGGATTCTTTCATCTCCCTCTCTTCCCCACAGATGGGACAGTATGGAGACACAGACTCTCAGAAGTGGCTGTTCCCTACATCCATGTGGTCTAACCTCTATCGGGTCTGCTATAGTCCTTGGGGCCAAGAATTTTCCATCTGCAACTACTGGCATGATCCTCACCATGATGACATGTACCTCAATGCCAGCAGCTTCCGGGCCCTCATCAATGGGGAGAGAGACCATCCCAATGCTATTGTGTGGTGGAAGAACTTTCTCCGAGTGGGCCGCCTGGTGCTGACTGGGGGTCCTGACGATGGAGTCATCACTCCCTGGCAATCTAGTTTCTTTGGTTTCTATGACGCCAATGAGATGGTCTTGGATATGGAGGAGCAGCCAGTTTATCTGCGAGACTCCTTTGGGTTGACGTCTCTCTTGGCCCGGGGGGCCATAGTGAGGTGTCCGGTGGCTGGGATCTCATACCACCTGGCACTCCAATCGCACGCTCTGTGATAATTGCATTGAACCATGACTCTCCTGAAGATGTCCTCAGAGTGGTGGCCTTGGGAAGCAGATGCCAGGCTCTGGCATGCCTGTGACCACCTCATCGCTCCCACACTGCCCCACCCCAATAGGGCTCCCTGAATCCTCCCCTCTGCTCCTCTGTGAATGACAAGTTCTGGTCCCCTACCTCATGTCATCATCTGGGGACATCTCCGTGCGTTCCCTTTCTCCCAGGGCTGAGGTTGGGAAGTGAGCACCGGGTTTCTAACGGGCTTCATGCTGCTGCTCCTCCTCCGGGTCTGGCTGTGCCGGAGGAGAACCCAGCCCCTGCCCACCACAGGGGTCTCCTTCCAGGCCACTCAGGACATTTTTAGCTTCTGTTATCCCCGTGTTCCCTTTTCTCAACTTCCCTGTCGCCAGCCTCCCTGCCAAGAGGGACACCCGTAAGAGGGGTTCTGCGGTTAACCTATGGGGACAGTTCCACTTTTGAAGTGTCAGTGTTGGGGAATATCTGTGGCCTGCAAGTCCCACCTCAGGTTTGGGGATCTCCCAGTCCCTATGATCAGTGTTTGGGTATTCCCTGGGAACCTAGGTTCTTTGAGGCCCCATACCCTCTTTTAACTATCCTTGAGCGGGTGTTCTCTGTATTTATAGAAATAAGTTCCATTTCCTCAGTGGGAAAAAAAAAATCTCTATACTGATTTTCTGCACCTGGGAAAGAAATGCTTCAACTCATCAAGACCCAACTTCTTTGCTCCTCCAGGCCATTGCAGTCCAGCATGCCAGGGAGAGCTGTAAGACACATCTGAAGGACACAACCAGACACAAGAACACAATGTGTTCTTTATGGTGGGGAACACATGCTGGTATACCTCCAATGTCCTGTCCAACTTCCTAAGTCCCCCAGCACCACTTTCCCGGACTTAGAGAATAGAGAGTTTCTGTTCTCTATTTGTGTCCCATTCCACCTTTCTTTCCATGGTGGTTTTTAGTGAGGATGTCTCCTAGGCTCCTGTGTTTGAACACTTGGTACCCAGTTGGTGATGCTGTTGGGGATGTGAGGAAATATAGTCTTTGTGGAGGAAGACCTTTGCTGGGGCAGGCTTTGAGGATACAAAGACTCATACCATCCCTAATTCTCTCTCTCTCTATGTTCTGGTGTGTGTGTGTGTGTGTGTGTGTGTGTGTGTGTGTGTGTGTGTGTGTGTGTGTTTACAGTAAATGTAATCCCTCATTTGATGTAATCCCTCATTTGATGACACATTTGGAATCACATGCCCTAGTCTTTCTCCTGGAAGTTGCCTTGGTCATGGTGTTTTATCACAGTAATAGAAAAGTAACTAATACACACACTTTTAAGCAACAGACATATTTTACCTCTACAGAAAGGCAGGAATGGATTTATTTACCATATTTCTTAGGAGTAGTTGGCCTGAAGCATTGTGGGAGAGTCTGCAAAGCACACAGTCACAGCTGAATGACAACTTTCTGCAGGGTCAGGCTGCTACCTTACATGATGTAGTTCATCCTCTAAACTAGGAATGAAATTTTCATCTATGGCTACAATACATGGTTTCCAAATCAAAGACATGTGCAGACAACTCCCCTCCTAGAAAGGACTGTACTCAACGGTGCTGGTTTCTGAACCATGTATGGTGTTTTTCACCTGTAATTCTGGTAGTCTATGGACAGGGATCGGTGGATAGACGTTTCAAACTCAGCCTCAGCCACTTAGTGGGATCCTGTCTGGAAAATGAGCATCTCTCTGTTCGAATTGAGTTTGAATTGCCCAGAATTTTAGTTCCAGAGAAATGACTCAACATAAGTACTGGATTAATATATAGCTTGGTGATCTATTCTGATTTCAGGGAAATAGGGTTCACTGAAATGTCTCTCAACGTTTAATGGCTCCTAATTAAATCTATCACAGACTTTTGTAGCATGATAAAGGAAAGACCACTAAGACACCATTACAATCAAGTTTATGGTCACTGTAGCAGATAGAGAATCCTTGTAGCTTAAACACTTGAGGTCAGAGTCCCATGAGAAGCTTCCAGAGGTCCTTTAAGGCCCCCTCCTCATATGATGCCCCAGCTCATTTGGCCAATGACCATACCACTTAATGCCAAGCAAAGTGACAGTCTGGGCTCACTGCTGTATGATACCAGGAAACCATGTTGTGACAACCCAGCGGAGACCTTCCTATTGTAGTTTGGTCTCTCTACAGGAGAGGCAGAAAGTTTGCAATGGACCCAGATGTGTCCTGCTTCCCCACAGTGTCCTTAGAATGCTATTGTCTGCAAGCCATCATGAATAGCTACCTACAGAATTTCATACAATTTCACCTAAGTAGCTGATGTGTTCCCTAGAATAGAGAAAGATATGAATACATAGAATTCTTTTTGTCTCTCTGTGCTTTCCCAGCCAATACCAATATTTGCATGTTTTGTATAGCTAATTTATTTGAAATAACAGCTTTAAATTTTATATTCAGCCGGAGGGTCGTGGCACATGCCTTTAATCCCAGCACTCAGGAGACAAAGTCAGGTGAATCTCTGAGAGTTAGAGGCCTCCCTGGTCTATAGAGCGAGTTCCCACACAGGCACTAAAACTACACAGAGAAACCTTGTCTCAAAAACACAAAACAAAACAAAAAAACAACAAAACAAAACAAAAACAATAAACAAAACTTTTACATTAATCACGTATTTTCAGGCTTCAAAGTTATGTTACATGTATGCCAAGTAGAATGATTAAATCAAACTATTATCAAACTAATTGACATATTCACAAATTTAAATAGCTTTCATTTTTGTAGTGAGAACATAAATTTGTTTGACAGTTTTTAAAAGCACAATAAGTACAATGTATCATTAACATATTATGCAGTAGATTTCAAAAAGTAATTTCTCCCCCTCATTGAAGTTCTGTACTTTTTCTTCAACAGCTTCCAGTTCTAATCTGCCCAGTCTCCATTAATCACTATTTTCTCTACTTCTACAAATTCTGTTGTTTTAGATTTTAAACGCAGTGAGATCATTCATTATTTTTTCAACTGTCCCTAGCTTATTTAGCTTGGGATCATGTCTCAGTTTCACCTGTATCATTGCAAATGATAGAATTTTATCATATATTTAATTCTGGATAATGAGCCGGAAAGATGGCTCAGTGGTTTAGAGCACTTGTTGCTCCAGCAGAGAACTCAGGTTCAATTCCCAGCATGCACATGATTTCTCATAAACATCCCAACTCCAGGTCCAGGACATCCCTTGCCCTATTTTAACCTCCATGAGCAACACACACACACACACACACACACACACACACACACACACACCCCTGTTCTTAGAGAAGGGCAGCCTGTCTCACCTCCCAGAGCTAATCTCACACAGCTCTAACTGTGGTGATATTTTAATTGTGCTGAAATGTGATTTTATTTGTATGTTAATAAATAAAGTTTGCCTGGAGATTAGAGGTCATTAGTGAGCCAGGAATAGAAGTCTGGTGGTGGTAGCCCATGCCCTTAATCTGATCAGATGGCAGGCAGAGTTTCTGTGTGGTCAAGGACACAGCCAAGCATTGGTGACCCTTGAGTCTTTAATCCCAGTACCAACCATAGAGACCAGGATGTCTGTACAGACAGGCAGTGACAAGAAAGTCATGTGGCTGTGCTTAGAGCCAATGAGAAGGCAGAACAGGAAAGCAATAAAACTCAAGACACACAGGAAGAAGGTCTCTCTCTCAGGGGAAGAACAGCAGCAAGTTTTAAGATAAGGTAGTCTTGGCTCTTTGCTAGTGCTCGGATCTCTTGGGCTTTTAACTCTGTATTTGTCTCTGCATTTCTTATTTAATAAGACTGTTTAGAATTTTGTCTACATTTGGCGCCCAATGTGGCAAGAATTCATTAAAAAACATTGGTGGTTACAGGTCCCGGCTCAGCCAGAGTTTACAGGCCCCAGGCCCAGCCAGAGGTATAATCAGTCCAGTCTGGCTGCACTTGACTGTAGCTGCAGCAGCTACCTACAGCTGGAGCACCTTGTGGCCAGATCACCAACTCACCTGGTCAGAGCTTAAGGAAGCCAAAGTTCAGGCCCGAATTGGCTCAAGTCACAGCACGTGGCACGTAGCTTTTTTCTCTTCTCTTGATAGATAGTAGGCTCTCTCTTTCTCTCTCTCTCTCTCTCTCTCTCTCTCTCTCTCTCTCTCTCTCTCTCTGCACAACCATGCTAGGTAGCTGTTTTGAAATTCCCTTGGGTTTCTACTGTACTATGCAGATTTGGTAAGTCAATTAAGGTATCAGATATCTTAAAGGGAGAAACTACTTAAAAGAGAAAAATTTTCCCCACATTAAAAACATGGGAAATATCTTTACAATAGAAGGAAATTGTCTTTGTTTGATAAAACATTAGGCAGTCTGAAAATGGAACAATTGCAAGAGAGGATTAATGTTGATGGGTGGTATGTAATATCAATTACACATATTATTAGTTTACTCCTTCTTATTTTACAATTTTAAAAGAGAGTCAATTTAAGTACCAGGATAAAAGCTTTAGAAAAACCTGTTAAAATGAATTCTTGAGAAATTCAGACTCAGAAGAATTTAAGGGTGAAATTATTTCAGAATTGGATTATAAGGTTACAGAAAGAAATCCTGTTTTCAAACAATCAAACTTAACTTATCTAGTAACTGTACAGCAGCTACCTGATCATGTACAAACTAATTGGACTCCAGTTGAAATGTTATATTTAAGAAGGTTTAAGGAGGCAATAGTATCTTATGGCATGCATTCTCCATTTGTAAAGCAAATGTTAAACTCCTGGTCAACTTGTAATAGGACTATCCCTCAAGACTGGAAAGAATTGGTAACCACTGTCCTGGAACCCAGAGCACAGCTCCAGTGGCATATGTCGTACCAAGATGTGGCTAAGACCATAGAAAGGCAATGGAGGACTAGAGGTGTGGAAATTTCCCAGGATCAGCTTCTTGGAGAAGGCCAATATGATGAAAT